GTCCCTTAACGAGAGCGTTCGAGCTTTCGTAATACCGTATATTAATAATGTTAATCAGGGTTTCAACTTTGAAACCCAGCGTGGCGAAAAGTTCGCCGCCCGAGGAACTTGGGGGGGAAGACTAAAATGAATGGACGGGAAGTCGGTCGTCATAGAAACGTCCTTCTTCTCAGGCATGGGGGGGTGACGGTGGAACGGCCGCGCTGACGGACAAGTTCACAGTGCCGCAAAAGGACTTAGAAGGACTGACCGGAAGTCCGCCGTGATGGGAAGGTCATTTTTCAAAGTGGGTAGGGGACGGCTGCGGACAAGGGACAGGAAGTTCGCCTTGCCGAGGTGGTGCCCGAGAAAGGAAGTTGGGAGGACGAGTAAGAAGGTCGGACGGGATGTCGGCCATGATGGGGTGGTCATTTTTCCAAAGGTACTGGGGCACCGGCGCGGACGACGGACAGGAAGTCGGCCATATTGAGAAGGTCATTTGGAACTTGATCGTCTCAAGAGCAACATAGAGGGGCGGGGCTTTTTTTCCCGACGCTCTGCTCTGCGGGCTGCACTTCTCCGTCTCCTTGATCCTGGGTGAAGGGGGGCGGGTAGGGGATGCTTGTGCGATGTCACAGGGTTGCCCCCCCCCCCCCCGTTTTGGCTTTTCCTAAACAATAAAACGTCATTGTGCACGAAAAGTATTGTTCCCTTTTTTCCTAATCTTCTGTAAATCCTTGCTTTCCCCGTTGGCTACTGGCTTGCGGTGGCACCGTCTTCCTTGCTTGGATAGGCCTCGACTTACGACTGGCTCATTTAGTGACCGTTGAGTTGCCATGAGACTTTTTCACCGGCTGCTGTGGCACCCCGTCAGTCACGGGATGCAAACCGGGGTCCTTGGGGATTGACGACCTCTTGGAATCGTACCCTTTTGGGTATTTTGTCATCGAAACGGCTGGTGCTTTTGGAAGAGAAGGGCTGACGGAGAAAATGATTTTATTATGGTAAAGGTACGCTGCTGTTCACAGCTCTGTCGGTTTCCTGGGGATTTTTTTGCCGGCACCCTCCCCCCCAAATCTCATTGAGAAACAAAGAAGCAAATTCTTAGGGTCCCTCTCCTCGCGTACGCACAGATAAGTGAGGAAAGTTACAAACCCTATAGATAAAAGCAACTCTTCTGATATTTTAAGATTCTTTTAGAAGTAGAGTAACTACACTGTAAAACGCTCTAATTAAGATTTACATCTTTCCTGCAAAAAGACAAATGTCCTTCTGGCACTTGTTTATCTTTCGTTATTCCTTTCTCCTATTGCCTGTTAATTGATTACTTAAGACGGCTATGACAACCTACTTCAAAAGTTTTTCTTCCTTCAGATCTAGGGAGTTACTTCTCAGGAAAATATGTTTCAGGCCTATAGGTTAAAAATTCACTGTTTCCTGAAAACGTATCGATGATGTCGTGGACTTTGGAAGTGACATCATTAGAATGCAGCGTTACATGGCATTTTCTCATAGTTCTTTTAATCAGGCTGATGTTTTCACAAACTAGCCGCTCAGAGTTCTTTGGACAGGACAGCAAATTTTATTGTTGAGTGCAACAGCGATACAGAAAGAACACATTTTGTCCTTCAACATTGACATTTCAAGAAATGAAAGTGTCTTACAACAGCATCCGATTAACCCTTTCTGTATTGAACGTGGCGTTTTCCCCGCTCCCTTCCCTTTCAATCATAAATCATTGGAACATAAATAACAAAATATAGGAACAAAAAAATAAAATCACTAAAGCAAACAAGACAAGAAAGACATTCTCTAGAATCACTGTGGTATACAAAAAGAGCTTTATGGAAGGCGAGACTGAGAAAGGGAGAGTCTGAAGAATTTGCAGTGCAAAATTCTCCTGGTGGAAATAACCCCAACCCTAACCCCTAACACCAACCCCTAACCCGACCCAAACCCCAAACCCAACCCATTTCAGACACAAAACACAACTTTTGCAGAGCTCAGATTTTGAAAAGAACTTTATTTTTATGTTCTGCAGGGTGGAAAACGTTGAAAACACTCCTCATTTTCGGATCCGAGCATTCCCTCAAGAGATAAACCTAACCCCCCCCAAAGCCCCCAACCCCTAACAGCGTAGAGGAGGAGATGGGAAAAAGTAGGAGACCAGGCTGCAAGGCGCTTTCGGAGAGGAAGTGGAAGTCGGGGAAGGTCGTTCCAGGAGAAAGTCGGGACTGTCCCCACAGGAAGACTTATTGCTTTCAGTGGCACTTGCGTATCCCCCATCCCCCTTTTCCCCCTTCATGTTCTTTTCTTTCTTGCTGGCCTCTGTCAAGGCCTGGTCTTCCTTTCTGTGTATATTTGCAGATATGTTATTTTTAATGGTAAAACCAATAAAGTTTGTTTTTTTAAAAAAAAGAAAGTTTAGAAAGTGAGCATTCGCTGAGGTTGTGGAGCAAATCACACAGAAAATGTAGCTCTTGATTAATACCGGCAGAAATATTTCAATGGAATTTTTGTTTTTTACAAAATGTCTTTAATTTTCATATTATAAAAAATGAATTTACAATCAAATACGGTTATATTTCATCTCCATATAATGAAAAGTTTTTCATTTATTAATAAAACTGGCAATCTACAAAATCATATTGTCTGACCCCTAAAAATTATTTCAGAAGTTTAACCTTTTCTTTTAAAACTCTAAATTTGGGGTTGCTGCTGACTTTCTTCTTAAACAGGGCTAGGGTTTTCTCTTCAGATTTCTGATGGTCACCTGTGACTGCGTAGTACTGAGCTATAACCTACAAAAGAAAAGGAAAATATCATTCTAAGGTTTGATTGTGTTTTCAGTTCGCCCGATTTTTGAGATTGTCTCGCAAACATGTTCCTTTGGAAATTGTGAGAAGCTCATCATGTGCAGGTGTATGCTTTTCCTTTCACTTAACTATTAAAAATGATCTGCGCCTATGACTTGACTTTACAATGTGGGACCTGTTCGTTTAATTATATTTTTCCTAATGCTTAAAACTTTGACCAGGCTGCTAGATTAAATCCAAGCTATTTATAGTTTTAGGAAATTAACGGAAATAGTTTTTCACTTTCTCTGTTAATAGCGCTGCTTCGGTAATTCTAGGCAGCTTGCATACTAAAGTTAGAAACAACATAATGGAACTTGGAAAAGAAGCCAAAAGCCAAAAACCAAGTGATATCTCCAACCGATTCTGAGCAGCCTGAGAAGACAATATCTGTTCCTGCCCCATATCTAGATCTGTTAAAGCCAAACTACTATAGATGTCTTCCTTTCAAACTTCTGACAGCGTTTAATTCTCTCACTTTTATTAGAACTTGTTAAAAAATATATATGATGTCCAAATTGCTAAGAACGGTTTATGGCAGTAAATGCAACTGTTTTCCACCACGCATGAAGTCTGAGAAATCATTGTAATAATAGTTTGGCTGGATAAATGTGTTTTAAAGTTTGTAATTTTGCAAAGTGTCCAGAATAAGAAAAGTTGATATTTAATGGCAGAAAGGACTCTTTTAAAGGAAATGCCAATTAAAAAGTTGTCCTAAGGATATTGAATTGCACGCGAGAGCCACTGGATTTTAAATTTTAAGGAATTAACCGTAGGCCTACATTTTATTTAGGCTGGGATAATGCCGGGGTTTGTGCTCATGTATTGGACAACGATTGTAACCTTGCTCTTGGGAAGTCAATATAAGTCATTCTTTTCCGTGAATGAAGTGCTATCGTGTGTACAAGAGTTGTGATTTCAGATCTAATTTAATTTTCAAAAATGAAGTCAAAGCCATTTTTAAGTAATAAAGTTTAAGCACAGGGCATAAATATTGCAAAACCAGACACTGTTAAAATGTGGCTTGCTAGCCGTTGGACTTTGATTTTCAATTTCCATGAAACGAATGATCGCAAACAGTGTATTTACCGTGCAAGTATTTTTTTAAAAAAGATGTCAACCAGTAAAACTGCTGAAATGCAATCCACACTCAGAGCATGCTAGAAGTACACCAATTTAGCAGCCCACTGTACTCAGTTTTACATTGTTTCATAAAGTGATGCAACACACCTTTTTCCTTAGTTTCTTAATGGATAATTCATTGTCAGGCGCTTGCTTCAAAACAGCTGTTATTGTTCCTTTCCAGTTGAATTTACCTGTAGAATTGATTAAAAAAATACTTTAAATGATCTCCTTATGTTTTGACTTAAATTAGGAAATGCAGCATTAAATATTTGTTATAAATAAATTTCTGCATCAACATAAACTTGGGTTAAAATATTGCCACTGAAAATAGTACTTCATTTATACATTTATCTGTGTGTCTGTATGCCTTCAAGTCAGTGTTGGCAACTGAAACTGTCTAGCTAGCCGGTTCCAATTTTCTTTGCAATCCTCTTTTTCAGAAGTGGTTTGTCATTGCTTCCTTCTTAAGTCGAGATAGAACTCTGTTACCTAGCTGGCTTTGTGCCCAAGACAGAACTAGAAGTCATAGCTTCCTGGTTTCTAGCCTGGTACCTAAAACATTAAGAGTGACACTGTTTAGGGCAGGGGTGTCCAACCTTTCACCTTCCCTGGGCCACATTAGAAGATGAAAATTTGGTTTGGGCCGCACATAAAATAAAATAACAGTAACGATACCTGATCATCCCAAAAAACCATAGAAAACATAGTTAACATATTAAATTTATTTGGAAATGAAGTTAGTGAGATGCTTTTATTATTTATTATTAATTATTTATTAAAAAAAAATTTTTTATCACGGTTTATCACGGTTTATTTTCCGGCCAAATTTTGTGGGGGGGGGGAGAAAGCTCGCCCGCCTCGTGCCTACCTCTCCTCCTGCAAATGGCCTGGCTGGATGCAGCAGGACTGGAAGGCAGAAGCAGCAGTGGCGGCGGGGGCAGAAGCGGCGGCGGTGGCAACAGCAGGTGGCGCTCTGACGGCACCCGCCTTTTCTGTTGCTGCTTGGCATGGCGCTCGCCTCGCCCCGCCTCGCGCCTGCCTCTCCTCCTCCTCCACACTGGCTCTGGCACGAAGGTTGGGGTGGGCACTGGGCCGCATTACGAGGCGACCTGGGCCGCATGCAGCCCGTGGGCCGCGGGTTGGACAAGCCTGGTTTAGGGTTTTGATTCGGTCAAAGGCAGCCTTGGGGACTACCATCTTGCTGGGAAAAATACCATAAATCATTTTAAAGTAATGTGAATGTCAAAAACAAGTAACATCAAATGTGTTTTTTTATAAAGGCTGCTATGCAGAATCCCCTCCCCCACTTGCAAAATTTATGCTACCTTTGCGGTGGCATCATTGAATAAATTACTATATACACAACAGTGTGAAATCACAGCTGTCAAATCTTTAGCTAGCTTTGGCTTTCCTATGCATCAACTTCTCACTAAGAACACAGAGATTTACAAGCATCACAAAATTACATAAGAATGTTAAATTTTCATTAATCTTAAATAACTAAAAAGTATGGCACTTAAAATGCTATAAGTCATTTTAAAATAAATTATTCTCAGTAATTATCAGTGTGTCAATCAGAAAATACATGATTGGGAATTATAGCAATTCCATTTGAATAATTGAAGATCAAACCTCATTTAACAAATTACTAAAAGCTAGACTCCATGTTGAAAGAACCCCAAATTTGGATGTAGTGCAAGGTCACATACAATATTACAATCCAAAAATGGTTTCCACATTGACTTCATTTTAATGTCAGATTTACTTATGAAATATGAAGTTATTTTCAACTTTCCAATTCAGTTAGCCATTCATCTGCCATACTTTCAATAGGACATAAAAATCTTTGCAGCAGTTACCCTGTGTAAAGCCAGTTTGTAAGTTTTAATACCGTTTATTAAAAAAGATGCCGGAGAAATAAATTCACGATTTATCTCACCTTATTAAAAATCATCCTGCTGCTTTGTAAGACCAAACCACCCCACCTCTTCAAAACAGTGCCCACAAAGGAGTGCTTGGAAAGGGGACAGCCAAAGGGCATTCTCGCTCGTCTCCCTCCCTCATCTGTCTGGAAGCAGTCAGGGCAGTTTCTCATCAGAACCCTGGGCCGAATCTAGCCTGGGTTAGAGTCAAAATCTCTCTTCCCGTACTTCTGGTGACCAAGAGGTGCCCCACAAGGGAACCTTAAACACAGCCTCTTTCTACTGCCACTTTTGCCCATTTTGAACACTAAGTTCTATATTAAAATCCCAGCTACTGATCAGCCCTTTATGGCAGGACACGTGTAAATGTTTTTTGAAAATAATAATGCTGTAAGATTCAACTGACATTTTCCATTATCATAATACACAGCTTTGATAAACTTCCAAGTTACCTTCATGTTTATCTTTGTTTTCTTCCACTTCAGAGCGGTTCATTATTTTGGTGGGAATGGGAGACTCATCTGCTTTATAGGGGAGCAGGGAGAAAAAGATCAAGAAATTAATAAAAAAAAATAGCTCTTTTTGGTGAGAACCACCGTCGTGTTAAAATCTTGATAGTAGCTGAAACTGCTTTTCTCTTTACAAATATTTCATTCCCCAATGTGGCAACGTCACCAAAATGTAACATTTGCAAGGAAACAGCCAAGCCCAGGGGACGCTCAGGAACCAACCTCTCAGCTCCAGAGTTACACATTAGTCTCCCTTGCTGGGTCTAATTCCAGCAACAAAAATACCTCCTGTTCCTTAATGTAATATAAGGGTGCATCTCCCGGGCTGTTAATTTCACTACCTGCTTTCATTTCTCATGAAAATTCTTCCAGTTCTGGTCCCTGTCTTTAAAGAGCCCGGTTAATTTTCTTCCCCTGATAATTGTTTAATGGAGGAAGATAAATGGATTTTGCTGCAGGATTTTAAAAGAGCTTTTAAAATTAGGAAGAAAGTGAAAAACACATTAGGACCTTTTATGCAGCTGTTCTTGCGTTTCTTCCCACGTGCCTCTGTCTCCGCTTCTTCTGCTTCTGGGCCATTTCCCTTCCTTGGCACTTGGACCAAGCCGGCTGCGTCTTGCTTTGCCTTCTTCAAATAATCACTCTGGAGCATTTTTTGGCTGCCTTCCTCAAGGAGGTTTTGCCTAGATTTTTCACTTTTTAAACATTCCAAGTTTTCTTGCTGAGCTTTTAACTTTCTGATACTTTTCTTCTCTTTTAATTCCTTTTTACTTTTTTTATCTTTTGGTTTCTCAGTCTTCGTGATACTCTTTTCTGATGCCACAGGCATAATTTCATTTTTTAGAGATTGGGTTTCAAGTGTTTCCTGTTGGAAAAATGAGTGGATTATATATCACCGTGACAAATCCAATTTTGTATTAGTACATTTGAAGTCTATTTCTTTCTATTACTCCTACTACATTTCTGTTGTTTCAATAGTTTGAAGGTCTCTGAATGAATTACAACTAAAAATATTCCAAAACAGAAAAATAGCAAAAAGAATAAAATGCAAACACAGGAACAATGTAAAGTTTACATAATATAAAACAGGTGTCAAAACACAAGGCCGGGGCCCGGATCCAGCCCACTGGTACTTAGATCTGGTCTGTGAGGTGTGCGGCCTGAGCTCAGTTTTCTCTGGCACAAAAGGGTTGCAGGAGGCCGTCACAGCAGAAGACAGCCCAGGAGCCCATTTTCTCTGTCAGAGTGCTGGATAGGCACCAACACGAGTGACGTTGAGCTTGCCACGCCCACCCCAGCCCCCCAAGGTCAAACACAAGCCTGATGCAGCCCTCAATGAAATCAAGTTTGACACCTCTGGCATAAAAAATACTTTTTCCAACCGGGGATGGGCACTTAAAATCCAACTGATAACAAAGCAGCAAAAACATTTGAGGGAAATAACTGTTTCACAAACACTCATCTTCAATTAAGATGAGCATTTCAAACTACGCATTTGAAAGGCAGAACTTTGCATGACTCACATGGCGGTATTTGATATAACCAAGGATGCTGAAAACAAACACCTCGCTCATATTTTTTTTAAAGAATTTTTATTTTTAAAAACATACACATATAAAACATAAAAACATAAAACCACCTTCCATTTTATATACATACGGTGTGTCAGTTGGTTACAAATCTTTTGTGCTATTCTTTTATAGTCATTTACTCACAATTTATATCAATTTTCACATTGTCGAACTAACATATGCTTGGATAATTATCAGTTATTAATCATCCATGACTAAATTATTTATTCCATCATTTTATACGAGATGTTCCAAGTTTTATCTTAAAATTTATGATATACTTTCAACCAATGGTTATATATGTCTATGTCTTATATCAATCTATTAAATTTCTATCACAAAATTATCTAGTCTATTACATTACCACGTCTTTTTATCCAACCATTGATAAAACAAATCCCATATCATATAAAATTGTTTATCTTCTTGTTCTCTAATTTCAAATGTCAATTTATTCATTTCAGCACAGTCCATAATTTTCTTAATAACTTTCTCCTGCATAGGTATTTTATCATTTTTCCAATTCTTGGAAATCATTTTTACAATCCTAGCCGCTGCTAGTACATTTACATTCAAATATTTCATCTCTTTGTTATATATTTCCAGTATAATTCCCAATAAAAATATCTCTGGTTTAAAGTCTATATGTTTTATCATTTTTTCCAACCATGTGTGGATTTTAGTCCAATATTTCTTTGCGTCTGAGCATATCCACCACATATGGTAATATGAACCGGGTATCTGATGACAGTTCCAACATTTATCCGATTTATTCTTAAACATTCTCACAAGTCTCGTCGGGGGTAGATGCCACCTGTAAAACATCTTATACAAATTTTCTTTATATGCAGTTGACATTGTCATTTTATAATTTTGAGACCACAATTTTTGCCATTTTTCTAAATCAATCCCATATCCAAAAATTTTCACCCAAGAAATCGTTTCTTTAACTTGTTCCTCCTCCAATTTAAATTCTAATAAGTGTCCATAACGTTTTTTAATTACCTTTTCATCAGTACCCATCAAAAACTTATCTAAGTCAGTCAACTTATCATAAATATCTTCTGCTTTAACATCTTTGTCAAATCTAGGTTGTATTTGCAAATATGAAAAAAATTCATTTTTACACCTTGTTCTTCCAATGCTTGCATTGATTTAAGTTCACCCTTTTCATTTAATATCTCACCATATCTAACTGTTTGTTCCTTTTTATATATTATTGGTTAAGAAAAAGCTTCAATGGTAGATATCCATAGTGGATTTTTTAAATAATGTCTTTTTATCTTCTCCCAGTTCAAAAATAATGCCTCTCGAATCTTCTAAAATACCCCTGTGTTATGTCTCACCAATATTCATAGATGAGAAGACAAGGTTTCAAAATTCAAAATATTCAAGTAGAAACAAAACCGAATTCAAAAGGATTAAATTAGCACAGTTGTCCAGTCCTTGGCAGACTTCCCGGAACCTGTCAGGCTAATCAGAATTGTCCATAACTCACAAGGCCACTTCAAATGTATTCTTCCGACTCATCAAACACTTTGCTTCCAAGCAAAGCTTGAGAGTCAGCACGCCTCTTTAAATCACCTGGATAGGCGTGTCAGTCTCTCCAATCAATGTTTGTTCTGACACCTCCCTTCAGATTGATGTTTCCTGGTTCTTCTAGTTCTGGCGTCAATCCACGATCTGTCAGTTTCCTCGCTGGAAACTTCTGTCTCATTTTGTTGACCATTTTCTGGCCTGAACGAAGTCGAAGGTTCTGGGGAGGATTGTCTCTGCGACAATCTCTCATCCTCCTGGCTCACGTCTGTGTCCTCTGATAATTCAGACTCCACATTCACAGCAGGCTCCAACCTTCCATTGTCAGAGTCATCAGAGTCAAAACTCCCAGCAGGATCGATCCTTCCAGTCACAACACCCCTGTATTTTAGTTCCCTTGTACCAAAGGAAGGCATGCCATCCCAACAGCAAGTCATGCCCTTCTAAGGTCAATAGTCTATTGTTCCTTAATGTTATCCATTCCTTTACCCACATCAAATTTGTTGCTTGGTAATACAACTCCCAGTTAGACAAGGCAAACCCTCCTTTTATTCTTGCATCTTGTAACAATTTTAATTTTATTCTTGCTTTTTTGCCCTGCCAAATATATTTCAACACAATTCTATTTAAATCTTCAAAAAACTCCTTCCCTAATCGGATTGGAGTTGTCTGGAATAAATATAAAATTCTAGGCAATACATTCATCTTAATTGTAGATATTCTCCCAATCAATGATAATTGTAAGTTTCCCCATTTTGTCAAATCTGTTGCAATCTGTTTGAGTTTAAAATAATTATCCTCCTTCAGTGTACTACATCTTGATGTAATGTATATCCCTAAATACTTAACCTTATTTGTGACCTGTATTTCTAAAACTTCTTCCAACTCTTTCATCTTACTAGCATATTCTTTGTTATTATCTTTGTTTTATTTTTGTTTATTTTCAAATCTGCTACTTTCCCATATTCTTCTATTTTTTCTATTAATTTAGGTGCTGTTTCCAATGGGTCTTCTAATACCAGGTCATCTGCAAAAGCTTGCAATTTATACTCTTCCTTTTGGATTTTCATTCCTTTTATTTCTTTATCTTCTCTATATTCCTATTCAACACTTCCAATGTTAACACAAACAGCAGGGGCGACAGTGGATAACCTTACCGTGTCCCTTTTCTTATATCTGTAGATTCTGTTAGTTCTCCATTTACCATAACTTTTGCAGTTTGTTGATAATATATTGTTTCAATGGCTTGAATGAATTTTTTTTTACCAAAGCCCATTTGTTCCAATGGCAATAACATAAATTGCCAACTCACATTGTTGAAGGCTTTTTGTGCGTCTAAAAACATCAAAGCCATTTGCTTCTCAGGATGTGCCTCATAGTATTCTAGAATATCCAAAATAATTCTCACATTGTCTTTGATTTGTCTCTTTGGCAGGAATCCATTTTGATCAATATGGATAAAGTTATTTAAGTATCTTTTTAGTCTTTCTGCCAAGATTGAAGCAAAGATTTTATAGTCTGAATTTAATAGGGACATAGGTCTGTAATTTTTAACTTGCTGCAGGTCTGTATCCTCCTTCGGTATAAGTGTAATGTATGCTTCTGTCCATGTTTTGGGTATTTTTTTCTTTAACATAACTTCGTTCATAACTTCTAATATTCAGCATTTCCTGAAAGGTCTTGTAAAATTCCGCTGGTAAGCCATCTGGACCTGGTGCTTTTCCAACATTCTGGGTTTTTTAAAGCTTCTGTTAATTCCATCATTGTTATATTCCTTTCTAGCATTGTTTCAATATCTTTAGGTATCTGAGGTAAGTTCGCTTTCTCTAAATATTGCTTAACTTTTTCTTCTTGAATATTCTCTTGAAAATACAATTTCCCATAGTAATCTTATATAATTGTTTTCTTCTCCTCATTTCCATAACATGTATGTCCTTCTTCATTTATTAGTTGGCTAATCCTTCTCTCTCCTTTCTCAATTTATAAGCTAGCCATCTGTCTGGTTTATTTGCATCTTCAAAGTAATTCTGTTTAGTGTTTTTAATTTTTTGAGCTAGTTCCTCCTTTTCCATTAGTACCTTTTTATGTTTAATTATATCCATTTTATTTTTAATGTCTTTTTTTGCGGGGACTTCTGTAAGTCTTTTTCCAGTTTTTTATAATCATCCTCTAATATTTTGAAAGTCTTTTTCTGTTTTATATTTCTTTTCCTTGCATAGTCTATTATCAAGCCTCTTGTGTAGGCCTTCGTGTCCCAGAGGTTCTGTAGAGATGTATCCTCTTTTCTATTTTCTTTAAAAAAGAAAGCAAGTTCTTTCTCTATTTTCTGTTTAAAGTCTTTTTCTTTTAATATTGTATTATTTAAGGTCCATTTGGATCTCCTCTTGTATCTTTTCCAAGTACTGGGTGGTACCAAGTACTGCCCAAGTGCTTGTTTCTATTTTGATCTCTCATATGTTAGCCAGTAGTTCTGCTGACATCCATATCATGTCTATTCTAGACCATGAAAGCATGTATGTTTGAGTAAAAGGTGTATTGCTTACTCTCCGTGTTTCTCTCTCTCTCCAAGCATCTTTTAAGTTGAATTCTTCTGTTATTTGAAAGAAGGATTTTGGTAATATCTTTCTAGCTTTCTTCGTTGATTTCTGCGTTTTGTAATCCAACCGATCATTAACTATTCTATTAAGATCTCCCATCATACAAATATTAACATAGTCCAATTCAATTATTTTCATATGTAATTTCCTGTAAAATTCTTCTTGGTTATCATTCGGAGCATAAATTGCAATTAAAAGTGTTTTAACATTATTGTACATTATTTCCACCATCAAAATCCTTCCATCGTCATCTGTATAAATTAATTCTGCCAAAATTGTGTCTTTTATATATAAAACCACACCTCTTTTTTAAGATTGTGCCAGCGATGTAAATAATTTCCCTAATTTATTTTAAGTTGTGCTGTCCCAGCCAGTCTATGGGAATTGCATAGTTACTGAGGAATTATGAGTTGTCCCCTTAAGGGAATGCATCATGGTAAATGTAATTAAAGATATCCTGAGAAATGTAGTTCATGTCACGTGGCCATATCTGTAAACCTGATTGGTCACTAGTTTGACCCTCAATGGGTTGGGGGAGTTTCCTTCTTTCTTTGTCTGAACTCTCTAACTCATGGCAGCTTCTTTCTATCACTATGAGATGGGCTAGGAGATAACCATCTTTGACTACAAGCCAGATATACAAAGGATTGGTCATTAAAGAAAAACGTCATCACAAACGTGAGTTATGAGGATACCTGATGAACCAATAAATGTAATTTGTTACAGACGTCTTGTTGCGTTATCTATCTCCATCTGAACAGCTTCAAATCCACCTCTGTGAAGAAGGCAGAAAATAAGTATACATTCATGTTGTTTTTAATATGTACTTCTCGTAAGCAAGTTATATCAAATTTCAATTTCTCTAGTTTATGAAATACTTTCCTTCTTTTAGCAGCTAAATTAAGTCCATTTATGTTAATCGTAATCAATTTTCTTTCATCCATGTTAGGCTTTGTGAGGGGTTTTATTGCTCTAGTAGGTCTTAATTCTCATTGCTCTCCGGGTACACCACCTACAGCACCTTCTTTTTCAATTACTTCTATACACTCCTCTTGGAATTCAATTAGTGATTCTTCCTTTCTAGCTTCCTCCTCTTTTCCTCTAAAATATTCTAAGTAGAATAGCTCAGCTTTTTCAACTGTGTCAATTCTGTGTCTTTGTTCCTGCCAGGTGAACAAGAGGCCTTCTGTAATTTACTCCTCTTTTAAGTAACTCTTTAGTCAAAAATATTCTCTTCTCATCTCTCTTACTCTTCTTGGTACCTGTTTCAGCACCACAATTTCTTAGTCTTTGTACTTTAAGGTTTTCTCTCTTGCCACCTTTAGTATCTGTGTCTTAATAATCTTTTTAGTGAATCTAATATGAACTTCTCTTGGTAGTCTGTTTCTCATTGCGTATCTTGTATATACACGGAATACTTCATCCATCCCATCCATCATCTTCTCTTTGGTTATCTCTAATGCTTCTGCCAATATTTCTGTCATTATTTCAGCAAGATTTTTATTTCAGCAAGATTTTCCTTCTACATTTTGAAATCTTAAGTAAAATTCTGATCTGTCAATTTCCCATCCTAATGGTTTGCATCTGTGCTTCTCAATATCACTCAATCTAGTGTCAATATCTCTAATTTTCTTATCCCTTTGTATATCTTCTTCAATTTTCTTAATTCTGTCCTCATATTTCATCATCATCTGTTGAACGTTCTCTACTTTCTCATCTGACTTTTCAGTTCTTTGCTCAATATTCTCAGCTCTTTACTCAATATTCTCTATTCTCTTTTCAATCTTCTGGATTACTTGCATAATCATCTGTAATGTCACTTCTTTCTCTTTCTCCTGTTGTAAAATTGCCTATATTGACCGTTGTCCTCCAGATGGTGAAGAGGCTATTGTTATTGAGGAAGATGGTGCTGTTGTCTTTCTGCTCATCTTGTGCTTATCTGTAGAGAGGAAGAGAGAAAAAGGAAAAAAGAAAAAAAAGGAGTACAGGCAGGCAATTGTCACACACCCCCCCCCCCAAAAAAAAGGGAAAAAGAAAAATCTTCAGGCACTTATGTACCTTAATCCAATTATTTCTCTTAATAAAAAAGAGAAAAGGAAGAAGATTTTTAAAAAGTTTCAAAAAATTACGTTCTAGTTTCTGGAATAGAAGGTTAAAATCCAAACATAAAAATCCAAACCGGGTGGGTGGGTGGGGGAGAGAGAGTAGAAAAGGAGATGGAAAGTAATCTAGAGTTAAACCAGTTGCTGCCACTAAGTATCCAAGGCTCTTTAATAAATCAAACTCAATGTTTCTGGTTCCGGTATTTCAAGATCACTTCAATCTTCTTTCTTTCAACTTCAGCTCAAAGCTCTAATTATTTAGTTTCACATATGAGCATCCGTATAAACAATCTACCATGCTCCTCCCACTATCTTTCCATTGCAAAGCTCAGAGACCTTGAGTATAGCAAGTACATAAACAGAGAAAGAAAGAAACAATATGTCCAAGCTTCTAAATGGCAGCGGTACTTTTCCCCCCTTCACTTTCACTCCCCCCTCTTGTATCCAATACCAGAAACAAAAAGAGAAAATGGAATCCTTCCTTTTTTTTTTTGAAAAAAAAAAAATACAACTCAAATCCAAAAGAAGAATCTTAACCAAAACAGACTTTCAAAAAATTATTAAAAAATAAAAATAAAAACAAGGATGAAAATTTAAAAGAAACCAGTTCAGTTTAAAGTTCAGTAACTTTACCAAATTCAAAGTTCCAATAAAAAGGGGAAAAGAAAAAATCTTTCACTTTAATTAGTTTAATTTCACCACTTAAACTCTTTCCTCCTCACTTTTAATTTCACTTTAAATCTTTCAGGATGTTCTCTTCAAGTAATAATAAGTAAAAGTTCATCTCACCAAGCTTTCCTTCAATCTCTTCCGTTCCGGAGCTGTTCCAGTTTCAGCAGCCTGGAAGGCTACCTCTCCGTCGCCGGCAAAAGGGCTTTTCCTGGATCAACCAGGGACTTTGCGATGTCCCTGGGATTGACAGGATGTGCCCTCCTCAGTCACCGTCTCTACGCGACGGTTTAGGTCCGGTGGGACCGTCCTGCAACGGAGATATCAGTGGCGATCTTGGAGCTTCAAGATCGCACGCTGTACCACTGAGACTCCAGCTCCGCCCCCTCCACCTCACTCTTTTTAAAGATTTTCTACACTGGCTACTGACATAACTTTCAACTGGAGATAGCTCATCAGTTCCCAGCTACCCTTCCTGTGTGGGAACAGCAGAAGATATTATCTTAATTTATTTATGCACAGTTTTCTGAGATTTGTTAAAACTATTTTTGGGGTTTGCTCAGAAAATGAGAGGACGGGGGCCTTCAGGAGTAACCAATGAACACCTTTCCTGGTTGAATCGAGGAAGCCAGAGTGGCAGAATCCAATGTGTTTCATTTACCAAAGAGCTTGCTAGAGAGAGAAAATGTTTACCAACCATCTACATTGTTTCTCTTATCAGATTTTCAATATGTTTTCAAAGGCCAAATAGAACAACTTTACCTGGCTCAAGTCCTTCTCAAATGTCAAGTTCATTTCATCTTTTCCAGTATTAAAGAAACCCAAATACACATACAAGTCCTCGGTTGATGACAGTAATTTTCATAGTAAAGCAATCTGGAGTAAAGCACATCATGTGACCACAAACTTTAACAGCAACAATCCTGGCACTTCCCACTGCCATTATTAAACGAAACCCACTCACCTTAAGCCGTCTCCCAGCCCAAGCTTCTTCCGGCACACACCCCAATACACTTATTACAATATATTCCAAATGCAGCAGTAACTGGCTTGCTTACCTTTCTCATTGCTTCTGAAAAAATATCCCATACTTGATCCTGTAGAGTAGTATTGTGGATTTTCAAACTGTTGGCCATCCAGTTCTATTTAGGCAGAAGGGGGGGGTGTATATTTAACTGGGACACAAATGCATTTTCTGACAATAGTAGTAAATCAGCAGAAGCCACAACTACCTGTTCTTAAACTACTTCTTCCATAGCCTGTTAACAATTTTCCAAAACGAGACTGCTGCAATTTTGCCATGAGCTCCAGCTCCTCAAGGGTACAGCACTCGTGATCAGTGGCCCAAGTGGAACTGCGTGTCCTTCTGGCTGTCCAGAAGTTGCCTACAGTGGCATCTCTGCTCCTTAACCCCAGACATGTTCACTGACGGGGCCGGGAGGACTCAAGCTGCGAGATCACTAGGAGGCACAAATGTGTAATTAAACGGGGTTTAAATAAGTTTAGGGGGGGGGGGGCTCAGGATTTTCAAATTATTTGGAAAACATGTGTTTTCCACAGTATAATTTAAGAAACACTGAACTATCCAGATTCTTTAAGAGAAGTTACTTTTGCTTAAGGAACCATAATTAAGAAAAACTGCATTATACCAGGTCAGGTCTGAGGCATAAATACTTAACTTGTGAACATACCTGAAATTTGCGTTTCTTTCGTGGAATATTATCATACTCATACATCTGTTGTAAAATATCTCGAACTTTGGCATTAATATTAGTTTCCTTTATTATTTCATGAATCTTCTGCAAATGAAAAACAAGTTAACGTGACTGGGAAATACACCAGTAGAACATTTTATGTTTCCTATTGTCACATTGAATTTATATTGTGAATTGTTATAGGATTAAATATACTGTAGTTACAATCCTGAAGTCCATGTAATAAATTGATATTTCTACTCATAGCATCATATTACATTACTTAGTTTTATTTAATTTTACTTGGCCTTGGGTGCCATTATACAAAGAGTGGGGTATAACAAATAATGAACATGTTTTTTTAAAAAATAAATGAATGCAATTGGTGGGGTGCTAGATCTACTTCACCTGAATCCACTCCTGCTGCTTAACGTCTCCTTTGAGGACTTTGGCTTCATAATTCTTTCCTCCATACTTCTGATCTTCACTTAGGCACTTCACGTGGTATTTATAATCATCATCCCTGCATTATAAATGCAGATTTAAATAACCCTTAATAGAAGGCATTTCCCAGAACTCTTCCCAAACATTTTGCTGAGATATATTAAAATGGCATAATTAACTTGAAAGACATTGTTAGGTTTAAGCTGGCTTTCTTCCCAACTTCTCCACAAGAGGGTAAGATTGGAGGGGGGAGAAATTGTTTTTCCTTATGCCGTGCAATGCTAGTTGGTGGGAAATTTTGCCTGCCTCCACTCAGTGCTGGTCTGCTACTCTGCTGTAAATATTGCTAAATTTGGATTTTGCAGGTTAGAAACATGTTGTTTTGTGAAATATAAATATATTTTTGTTTTTATTCTGGAATTCCCTTGAGACCTGAAAATTATGTCAAGGTTTTCTCCAGAGTAAAAAAGTTGGAAAGAGTTGGTCTTTGCAACGAACTTGCTTGGCAGAGAGGCATTTAGACCGGCGGTCGCCAACCGGTGGGCCGTGAGAAAATTTTGGTGGACCGCAGAGAAATCTTACCCCCCGAGCACCCCTCCAAAGCAATTAATCCAGGCTGCATGACACCCACGTGGCCCGTGGGAACCCTCCCCGCCCACTTACTCCTTACTCAGCAAACTTGCCTGCTAAGTTGCTGTTTTTCCTTTTTCCGACCATCATCTGTTCTACTGTGCCTGGAGTTTTAGATTAGCTAGGAAGCAGGAAATGGTTGATTTCTTGCTTTCTAGTTAGTCTTTAGATCTTTGGCTTGGCTTTTAAGCACAGCCGAACCTCCCTTAGGACTGAAGGGTCTATTATTCAGTGCAGACTCACGGCAAACAAATTTGAGACTGAGCTAGCTGATGGCAGATAGACCACTGAATGATTCTGAGAGCAACTCAATCTGCCTGCCTGCTTTGCCTGATTTTGGGTAAGCTGCTCTTTTTTTTAATAAAAAATTCAATATTTACATACATGGTGTGTTTTGAATTAATTTTGTGAATCTGCTTGCAAACAAATTTTATATGACAGACTGAGCTAGCTGATGGCAGATAGATAGATCTCTGAATGAATCTGTGATTCTGTGAGCAACTCAATCCTGCTTTGCCTGATTTTGGGTAAAAGTTGCTCTTTTTTAATAAAAAAAATCAATATTTATATAAATATTTATAATATTTACATACGAGCCATGCCCAGCCAGTCACGTGACCAAGCCACACCCACAAATTAGGCCACACCCACAGAACCAGTTAGTGGTCCCTGTTCTGTTTTTAAATTGCTGGCTGAATATAAAAACAGCTAGATAAACTCTACAAAGGCTTCCATACAAAGTTTCTTTATTGGCTCATAAGGCATCCTCAAGGTATAACTCACAGTTATCTCAAGATTCATCTAATGTCTAAATCTTTGCATAGTTGACTTCATAGTGTGAAAATACAGTTATCTTCATCCCATAAAGATGGAGCAAAGGGATTCAGCATGTTGCTGGGTCCAGGCAAGGAAAAGAACAAAGGCTTCCCCCAACCCAACCAAGGGTCAATTCAGTGGTCAATCACATGACATGAACTATATTTCCCATGATGCATTAACTACGTTTCCCATGAGGCATTCCTTTAAGTGGACAGCTCCCAATTCCCAATTAACCATATACTGTCTGGACAGCACACTCCCCGCCTGGAATTATAAATTCCACTACCAACTAATTATCAATTAACTATATACTGTCTGACAAGCACAGTCCCTGGGATTTAAAATGATGAGCTTGGTGGTCCCTGAGGTCCCAAAGGTTGGCGACCCTTGATTTAGACGACCACCTCCTCCTTACAGAATACTTCTCCAGGGCGGACCTCCTACCGACAACTTTTAATGCTGCCCAAATGCCAAGCAGGGGCTTGCAAGCAATGCAACAACCCCTCCTCCCTTACAGCGTGCTCTCCTCCTAGATTAGACAAGCGGCTTCATTATTGTTATTGAGAAGCAGCTGAAGACAAAGAACTTCCAGACGGCCTTCGAGACTGAATGGTCACCATTACACTTACTGCTTTGTAATCTATCTATATCAATGGTTCCCAAACCTGGGTTGTTTAGTCTCAGCGAGTCTCTGTTTCCTTCTGTTGGAGAGAGTTGCCGTTCCTCCCAATGACTGTTACTGATCGTTGATGTAAGTCTGTTACTGAACTGTTTTTTGATGCTGGACTTTGATATTTGCATTATCCCTGAACTGAACACTGACTGCTTTACCTGTGAATGACTTGGACTGCTTATCTTGGACTTTGCTTAAACATTTATTGGAAGTAAAAACCTACATTTACTGTACAGCGTATCCATGTGCTGTGTGTGTGTTATTCAACATTACTCTCACTACGACTCCCTGTATGCGCTCATTCTCCTAACGGGGAATTACCTCAACACATTCTCAGGCAGCCCACCTGCCAGGCCCTTGCTGGTAGCAAGCCAGCCTGCGCTTCACTTTCGTGGGACAAGGCCGGCCTGATGCTGCGACTGCCAAAGCCCATGGTAAAGCTTCCCCAGAAGGCTCCCTGTACCGAAGGATGGAGGCAGCGGCCCGAGTCAACCTACCAGAAATCCTTCCCACAATCCATGCAAGACAGACACTGGCAGTTGCGGCACACGCGCACATGCTTCTCCACCTGTCCTTTCTTCAGGGCTTCTCCGCAGGCGTTGCACGTGAAAAACACCATTCTGAGAATCCGTTTCTTCCGAGTCTGATTCACGGCTCTTCCAGCAAATCCTAGAAACAACACGTCGAGGGCAAAATTAACAAGCTGATGTTGCATGCAATGCGCAGGACCAGAAATTCTACTTCAGAGAAAACTACCCAAGCACAGCATGGTAAGAAAATTGCTCGAACTCGGGAGCAGCCCACAGGGAACAAGGCCAAGGCCGCCGCCACAGGGGCCGCCAGCGGCGGGGCTTTCATTCTTGCAACCACAAAGTGTGTGTGTGTGTGGGGGGGGAAGCTAGGCTGCCCTCAGAGCAGCAGGAAGGGACCCAGCCGGGGGAGCCCCGTGCCGGCCTCCGACGCTCATGCCCCGCTTACCTCCCTCCCCAGCCCCACGCACGCACACGTGCCCGGCCACAGTGGGACCCGGGAGGCCTCGTCCACACCCCACACCCCGAACTGGGCCCCAGCCGGGAAGAGGCTGGCGGGGGGATAAAAACTCACCAGGCGGAGCACGGACCGCTTGCCGGGTAGGCAGAGCCGAGTCTCGCACAGCCACTCAGACCGTCTTGAGTTCCGGACGGAAGCCGCCCGAGCGGAGGGGGAACGCTCGGGCCGTCCGCCGTGCACAGGCAAAGAGGCTCGTTCCGGCGGCGCTCGCGAAGAGCATCGGACGTCCCGCTCTATGGTCACGCTGCCCGACTTCCGGCCAGTGTTGGCCGACATCTTGCTGCGGTCGCGGAGCGGAGCCGGGCGGGGGCGTCCGTTTGGTAGCGTCCGCGAGTGGCTGTTCTACTCTTCCCGCCCCCCCTCCTCCCGCGCCCCCCGCTTCCTCGGTGCTCGACAAGGCCAGTTCCCTAGATTCATCAGCCGCTTCTTCCGGGTCGGCTGACACGCGTCCCTGCGTGATTGTGGGGATCCTCTCCACCGTTAGTTTCTGGGTCGCCTAGAACTGCGGTTGCATCTTCCTTGCAGCGAGATGCGCATTTAGGGGCTGCTGCTCTTCGTTCTTCCTTCTGTCGCTTTATCTCGCCCGTTAGACACAGGCAGTCCTCGGCCACGACTGAGCCCCACATTCCTGTCGCCGAGCAGGATTGCTGTTAACGGAGCTTTGTTCCATTTTACGACCTTGCTTGGCACAGTTGTTCAGCGAATCATTGTTAAGTTAGTGACAAGGTGGTTAAGTGAATCTGGCTCCCCCCCCCTTGACTTTGCTTGTCAGAAGTCGCAGAAGGGGATCGCGTGACACACACACACACACACACACCCAGCCCCGAGGCTGCGACCATCATAAGTACCATCCAGTGGCCAAGCCTCTGAACTTTGATTACGTGACCCTGGAGATGCTGCAATGGTCGAAAGTGTGAAAAACGGTCACAAACCACTTTGTTTCAATGATGTTGGCAACTGAACGGTCACTAAATGAACTGTTGCAAGTCGAGGACTACCTGAAGTTCATCCAACCCATTCTTGGAAGGTGTGTCTGCGGTCGTGTTATTTCATCCCCCCACCCCCCTCCCTCAGGGTTCTGACTATGAGCATCTGGGCCTCTGCAAGGCAGCCCCGTCACACGCTGGTCTGTGGGAGGCCCCTCCTGGCTTCTCCCAAGGAGCTGAAGGCTTCTCCCAGGGCTGGGATCTCATCCCTTCTTGTTCAGTTTCTTCTTTCCAAGGGTTTCCTGGAGGGAGGGCCACCCTTTTCTTCCTTGGGGGGTCTGAAAGGCTGGCAGAGTGGCTGCAGCCTCCCCTTTGGCTGCTTGGGCATAAGCCCCTTGGATATATTTCATCCCGGCTCTATATCAACATAAGATTCACCAGTGGCCTAGTCAGGGAGTTGGACCGGGCTTTAGCGAGGCCCTGGCATCCACTGTCAAAGTGCCGTCAAAGAGAACGGCTTTCTCCCCTACAGTTCACCACCTGCCTAGGCTGCTGCTCGTGGCCTGGGTTCATTCCACTTCTGTTGCTGCCAACTTGCATGTTTGCAGGCTATTTCATTTATGCCACGATCTGTAAATAAATAAAATAGGCACAGGCCTTGGGGTTACTTTGGCAATTGGTACCCAGATTTGCTGTTGCTATGTGATGCGGTCATAAAGCACAATATCACGTTGACTGCATCGCTTAGCATTGGGAATCCCGGCAATCTGGGTTATTGTTGTAACCCCAGGGCTACATGGATCATTACACAGGAAGACAAGAGGGGCAGGCAGGGAGCAAAAGGAGTAATTTCCGACTTCCTAATGGCTTCCCCGTTGATACTGCTTATGAAGATGCTGGCAGGAAACGTGGGAAATTGCACTTATGTGACTACAGTTTGCCCCACCCTTGTAGTTGCAAGCTGGACACAGTCAAAATGTTGGTCATGGAACCATAACCTGAGAACTACGATAAAATAGTATTCTAATTATGTGATGCTTTTGAGAGACATTAGGAAGATGGAGATATATTGTGTCTACCATATGTCTTTAGTTTGTTAAGAAAGCTCCTGGGTCAAAAAGTGAAATGGGGTTCTTCTGGCAAACTTGGCGCTCTGTCTATGGTTTGTTTTGTATTTTAAAACAGGTAATCTTTTTGCGCAGAACAGCTCTGATGTATATGACAATACAATTTAGCACATGCTTACCAGTAAATAACTGCATCCCTACAATGTTTTCACCCCCTTTTTTTAGGTAACGTAGACACGTTCTAGCATGGATGCTTTTGCTAATCACAGTTGTCACCTCCTTCAGCAGCTCCATAACCAGCGGATACAGGGACTTCTCTGTGATTGTATGTTGGTGGTCAAAGGAGTTTCCTTCAAAGCACATAAAAATGTGTTGGCTGCTTTTAGCCAATATTTTAGGTATGTTAGTACAAACTACTTTAATGAATATTAAGTAAGGCATGGGAGGCAGAAGTGTCATTAAGTTAACGAGTTGTATATTTACAATCCTTATAGTCTTCCCCAATAGCCAGGACAGTGCGCAGAAAGCGAAATGAAATAAGGAAAGCATGGTGTAATGTTGCTCCTAAAAACTAACGCTATAAGTTAATATGGTACAAAAAATAAAAGTTTTGATTATCTATAAATGTGTTCTTAAAAGATAAAATTATATTGAATAAAAATGCCATGAGCAGTGCAAGGTCTGGTTACCTGGGAAGTTATAGGATTGATAGGCGTCCTCTGCATGAATAGAAATAAGTGATTACCACCAATCGACAGACAGCTCCCAGACTTTTTAACTGTTGAAAGGATTGTGTTGCAGATACAGATAAACCTCCAAGTGGCCTCAATGACTCTCAAAGAATGCAAATGACCAGCTCTCTGCAAGGAGTATAAAATCCTTCCACTCCCCACCGTCCAGTCACAGCCTGAAGAAGCTTCTTGGGTGAGAAGTGAAACGTCTTCAAAGAAAAACAAGAAAGTCCACTTGCCTCTTGAAAAAAGCATGTCTAGGTCTAGTTCTACAAGTTCTCTAAGAGGAAATATATTATTAATTAATGTGTGGTCATATACAAATGCAGAATTAAAATGCAAAATATCAGGCCACAAAGTCCTGTTCACAAGATAAGTTATGTATACTTAGGTTACATTCAGATCCTGTGATTTCCAACCAGTGTTGCTACAACATAGCTATCTGTAGCTACCACAAGCAATACTACAAATTCAGTTGAGGATACCCCCTGCCATCTTTTGTTGAAGGTGTGCTCTCTGAGAATGGAAATTTTATAGGAGGATTAAAAGATGACCTTTAAATGTTTTCTTACTGGTTAATATAATAGACTGAAATTGTGTTGTAGGCTGAAATTGCAAATTCTATTATATATGTTTGCTATTAAAAATTGCTGCTTTCAACAGTATTGTTGTGCAATCATTGTCTAACCAAATGTTGTAAGCAAGACTTTCAAAACATTGATGAATATGTGCACTTTTATGTTTACTTATTTTTCATATTTTTGAATTGCCAGTCTCCTCAGAAAGGGACTCAGCAGTATAGAATAAAATGTTAAAAATATTAAAAAGTATATATAAAAGTTTTAAAAATAGAAAAACATAGTTTAGAAGGAAGGAGGTGATGACTAAATACTATGAAGATGTGTTAAAAGGCAAAGGCAGGTTTTCAGGCACTAACCTGTCGCTGGGCTGCAGCTTCCTCTGGGCTCCCCCTGCAAGGCACCAAAGAGCCACGCCTTGATCCTTTTTAGAAGGCCAGGAGAGTGGGGGCCTGCCTCACCCTTGGGGGAGAATATTCCACAGGGTGGGGAGAAAGGGCAGAGGAGGCGCTCTTCATGGACTCTGCCAGTTGGAGCTCTTTAATTACCATGGTTTCTAGCACACCTTCCCCACCCGACCGTGAGTGGGATGGGCCGATGTAACGGGATGCAATGTAATGTTACAAAGGGGATTTGAGGATAAGCAGATGTGCCCTTTGTTTGTAATTCTGCTTTTCTTTCCTAGGACCCTGTTTCAAAATTCGCCAAGCCAAAAGAACGATGTTTTTCATTTGGACATTAAGAACGTGGCTGGCATAGGCCAGATCCTGGATTATATGTATACTTCACATCTTGACCTCAACCAGGATAATATACAGAACTTGCTGGATATTGCACAGTGCTTGCAGGTGCAGAATATTTTGAATCTGTGCGGCTCCTTTTTAAAAACCTCCCGATCTGTAGAGCAGCCAGCCAGTCTGACTGGCAATGATACATTTTCATTGCAAAATACTTTGGTTGCTGATACCCACTGTGGACACTATGATGTACTCCATGTTTGCTCAACTGCTGCTGCTTGCAAAGCCTTGGATGACCAACAACCTGAGTCACAGCCTTGTGCATCTCACAGCTCCTCAGCTGAGAGAGCCAAACCAAAACAAGACTCTGTGGACCCTGGCAGGGCGGATCTCTCCTTTAAATTACCAAACGGCCATTATAAGCTCCGAAACTTTTATAGGAAACAGACTATTTGTCCCAGCAACCAGGGGTCACTAGAAATTGCCCCAGGTTTTATAATGCCTCCAGCGCAAGACACAGCTCAGGATGCTGCTTTGTGCAACATCAGCCAATGTCCTTTGGAGTCGTCCGATTGTCCCCCGCTGCCACCACCCTTTCTCGCTCGCTCCTTCAATGACTTTCCTGTGGATCGAGACACAGAGACCACTTCTGTACAGCCAGCCAAACCGTTGAGGCCTAAGAAGGCCATCCACCTTCAAAAACTGAATTTGCTACGGTCCCAAAAGTCTTCTGAACAGTCTTCTGTACGTGATCCTAAGAAAGCCATTGCAAAAGGAAATGAATTAGGAAGCCAGAGCAACACAAAAAGGACGACCACAGTTGAGGTTCCTGAAGGGAAGCATCCCAGCGGGCTACTGAGTTCCGAGTGTGTAGAATTGGAGCCGTCCCGGGAACCCCCTGGGCCAGAGAGCCCGTTAAAGGACCTCCTTCCAGAGAGGCAGTATCCTTGCGCCTTATGTGGAAAGGTTTTTAAACATCCGAGCAACTTGGAGCTCCACGTAAGGTCTCATACAGGTACAGTCAGTTAACATGGCAGGCCAGCTATTGAATGACCGCATGGAGAACCAGCCAGAATGTAGTCTTAGCAGCTGGAAAGACCTCCGCGGCCCAGAGAGGCTCTGGTGCCGCAATGATCTCGCAAGTCCATCAAGCTATAATCAGATTT